CTCTCTCTCTCTCTCTCTCTCTCTCTCTCTTTCTTTCTTTTTCTTCTGTATTTTAGGGAAGGTCTTCTCTATTTAGTTCTACAGGGTGTTCAGGATCTCACTACTAGATCCAACTCCTAGTGATCCACCTGTTTACAGCCTCCCAAGAGCTGGGATTACATGCAGGTGCCACCATGCCCAGGCTCATTCACTGTCTCAGCGTGCCCTGGGGATGGGGAAAGCACAGCAGGCCCAGGAATCCAACCGCAGGCCCCTGCACCTGCTTGCAGGCACTTTAGTCTGCTGAACTCTTTGGCCAGCCCTCCCCTCTTTCTATAAACACATCTTCCTTTTGTTATCCCTTAATGTCAGGGTTATATGAATGTGTCCCAAAGTGACACTCAATCTTGATTTCCTTTTCAGAAATCAAAGAAAAAAAATCATCCAATATCACCATCAACCATCCCTTATCAACTAATCAAGTCTACACGTATCTTTTGTGTAATCCCCCACATATGTCTGTTCCTCTCTGACTTTGATCATCTTTTTCTTCCAGTTTTGTTTTGTTTTGGTGTCAAGAGTTGAACTCGGGACCCTGCACTTGGCAGGCAGGCACTGTGCTACTGAGCTATAGTCTTAGCTCTTGGTCATCTTCTATTTCAACAAAATACATTACTGTCTACCCAATTACTTTAGCGGATTCCATCTGTGATATTCCTGGTGGCCTTCATCTAAGCTATTAGAAAGTACTATTATCTATTTCGTGCCATGTTCTCCAAGCCATCTCTCAAATTCTATCTCTTCTGACCATTTCCATTAAAATTACTCTGGTCTGAGTCATAAAAAGTCTTTCACAGAATGCTGTGTCTATTTGCTATGCTTTGATTTTCCCAAAAAACTTTATTTGCATGTATTTTCCACAGAGAAAAGGTGACCCTCTATTTCGTAAAACATATTGAACCTATGACTCTAGGTGCACTGGTTTTCTATTTAATATTGTGAACAAAGTGACGCTGTGTGAGCTATTGTTAATCTGTTTGGTACTGGACTTGCTAGATACGCGTGGCTGTGTGTACTCTAATGTCATTTGGTTGAACATAAAGGCTTAAGTTCAGTTCTTCAGGTATACTAGCCATGTTTCAGTTGCTTAGTGTTTCCACTTGGCTGGCGACAGCTATCCAAACAGGAAGGTTTATGGGAAATTGCTCATTCAATGAGCTCCAGAATTTTTTCATTTTGCCTAATTTAGACTCTGTACCTGTTTAGTTACCCTTCCATTTCCTATGCCCCTAGTTGCTGGTAAATACTGCTGTGATTTCTGTCTCTATGAATTTGACTCTTTTATGTTTCTCAGGTAAAGGGAGTTACATATTTGTCTTTTTAAATAAGCTTAAATCACCTAGCATAATGTCTACAAGTTTCTTCTACTTTGTAGCATGTGATAAAATTTTTCTATCTTTTAAAAGGATCACTACCAGGAGGGAGAGTAGGAGAGTGGGAGTGTGTGTGTGTGTGTGTGTGTGTGTGTGTGTGTAGAGAGAGAGAGAGAGAAAGAGAGAGAGAGAGACAGAGAGGGACAAAAAGAGAGACAAAGAGATAGAGAGAGACAGAGAGAGACCATTTTGTGTATTCATCTATTTGTCCACATTTAGCTTTTTTTTTTTTAAAAAAAAAAAACAAAACTTTTTTCCTCTATAAATGCTATGGACACAGGCATATAAATATATTCAAAGCCTGAATTAAGGTTCCATTGGGTATACATTGTAACTTTATAGTAATTCTATGTTTAATTTTGGGACATCCATTAGATGATCTCCACAGGAGCTAAGCTATTTTGTTTTCCATCTACCCATTAAGATTCACATGTCTTCATACCTTTAATAACATTTTTCTTTTTTCATATTACTGGATGTTTTAGGGCTTTTTTTACTGTGATGTTTATTTGAATTTTACTAATACCTAATGGTGTTAAGACACTTTTAGATTCCTATTTGTCATTTGCATATCTTCTTCGGAGAAACATATATTCAAGTCCTCTGCTCATTCTAAATTCAGGTTATTTGTCTCACTTTTGTTGCTCTGTTGTAGGAACTCTTTACATATTTTGCATATTCATCACATAATTAATGAGCAAACATTTTGTCCCATTTCATGGCCCCATTGCATTTCAATAGACTTTAACATATGTTGACAATTATACCATAGATTTAGAATTACTTATATATTAATATGGTATACACATATTCTTGGTAACTATAAGAAAATTACACTTCATTTTCAGGTAAGAGGACTGTTACCATAATGTATATGCCTTCTTATTTTGCTTTTTATTTCTACCTTTGTAAAGAACAATTTTATCCTATCATGAGATGATAATGATCAATCATTCATCATTGTTATTATTCACTATTATTGTTATTTGATGGGAACTAATGATTTTAAACTTTTGTGCATAGACATGTCATGTTTCTGCATTCAGTGTCTTTGATACTAGGAGAATAAAAGCATTTTATAATCATATTTACTTTCAGGTGACCATGGGCAGAAAGAAAAAGAAGATTCATGTTTCATTGCATGCGAAGCAGTGGTTTCCAAGCTAGCTGTAATGGCAATGAAGTGGATATTTTGATCCCCATCAGACGTCTCTTTCTGTTGGTTACTTGACTCAGAATCCAGATGGGAAAGGGATGTGATTAATTATTGCTCTCAAAAGCCCTAGCAAGTAACACCACAGTAGGGTTTTCTGCTCCACCTGTCTCATTAGCCCAGTCTCACTACTGCTGATGCTATTCTCTGCAAAGCTTTATTCATGTGATTTCAATGATAGGTGCATTGAACAGGCCCACACAGACCACTTCAACCATTCCAAATGGTCAAGCCAAGCCTTTGTGATTTTAAACCAGGCAATATGTAGAAAGATTCTCACTATTAATGAAGGGCTAGAATAGGTGATGGGATTATTTTTAATGTAAATTCATAGAATGGACTTAGATTATGATGAAAATAACAATCTTAATCTGGGAGATTCTCTAGCCATTTTACTCATGTCTGTCTGTTTCTTCATTAACTTAAATCCTTAGTATAAAATCCCTAAACCATAAAAACTTAAAATGATTGTGATGTGGCACATAAGAGAACATCTTGGTAGGGTGTGAAGAAGTCATGTACTTAGAAAAGACCAAGTTGGGTGTTATTAATTTACATCTAAAGGGTTGTTTATATTTCTTGAAAAGTGATAGTGGGGAAAGTTTCTGAGTCACAAAAAGACAAAGAGACTTATGCTCGATTGGCTTCTGAATACCCAGTGTCTCCAAGAGTACACGGTTATCCTTGAAGCACACTCATTCATCAGACTATTATTTGTTCAGACTTTGGAAGAGGTTAAGTGCTTTGCTATGTCAGATAGGTAGTAGATTGAAGAGGACATACATATGTTACCCCGTCTTAGGTCATATACAAAGAGATGAAACAATGAATTATGAAGACAGGCATAAACCTGCAAATGTGATAAGTAGTCTGAGAACTGGTTGGTTATTGCAACAGCAGGTTGTGTAGGATGTCAGTGGCTAAGTGGTGAGTTGAGAAGGCTTTATATGGATAGGAAATTAGCTGAGAAGGCCTGAATGAGATAGCTCAGTGTCATAAGCGCCTGCCTGGCAAGCGCAAGGTTCTGCGTTTGATCCCTGGTACTGAAAAAAACAAAAAGAAAGAAAGAAAGAAAGAAAGAAAGAAAGAAAGAAAGAAAGAAAGAAAGAAAAGAAAAGAAAAGAAAAGAAAAGAAAAGAAAAGAAAAGAAAAGAAAAGAAAAGAAAAGAAAATAAGCTGAGATAATAAGAATTATGGGTAATGAATGTGAAGAAACAATGCCAAATAAAACACATTTTGAGCTAAAGAATAATAAGAAAAAAATCTTCATGGATGAGTCCAGTCTGATGAACTGAAAATTTCTAATTTATGGGAAACAGAGAAAAAACTGATATCAAGATATGCACTGGGAAGGAGCCGCCAACGGCCTGTAGAGCAACATGCCTAAGTTTTATTGTGACTACTGCGATACGTATCTCACCCATGACTCTCCGTCTGTGAGAAAGACACACTGCAGTGGTAGGAAACATAAAGAGAATGTGAAAGACTACTACCAGAAATGGATGGAAGAGCAAGCTCAGAGCCTGATTGACAAAACAACGGCTGCATTTCAACAAGGAAAGATACCTCCTACTCCATTCTCCGCTCCTCCCCCCGCCGGGGCTATGATCCCACCTCCACCCAGCCTTCCTGGTCCTCCTCGCCCTGGTATGATGCCAGCACCTCACATGGGAGGCCCTCCCATGATGCCAATGATGGGCCCCCCACCTCCGGGGATGATGCCAGTGGGACCTGCTCCTGGAATGAGACCACCCATGGGAGGCCACATGCCAATGATGCCTGGGCCTCCAATGATGCGACCGCCGGCTCGGCCCATGATGGTGCCCACTCGGCCAGGAATGACTCGACCAGACAGATAAAGTGGAGGGGCAGCCTCTCTGTATCAGTTTTATATTATTTGTTCTGCTTCACCAGGGGTCATGGTGCTGTGACTCTGGGTGTTTTCTAACAGCATGAATGAAAAGGAAGACTTGCTCCCCCTTCCTATCAAAGAATAGTCTTGAAGGGAGAAGTATGATAAACAAAAGTGCAGAAAGTACAGTTTCATTTGTATTGTGAAATGTGAAAATAAACTCATCAGCTGTTTTAGTTAAAAAAAAAAAAGATATGCACTGGACAGTATCGATCACACACACACACACACACACACACACAGTAGTATTAAAGATAACACTTAGCAATAAATCTAAAGGAAGATGTGGAAATATCTACAATGAAAATGAAATACTACGAGGGAGACAAATTAAACCTAAATGAATAAAAATATGTTTTTCTTCAGATTTTGCAGGATGTAGCATTTATTGCAAATGGGTTTACACACTCCAAATGAAATTTTAGGAATGTAGTTTGAGACTGGCAGATTGATTCTCAAATATTAGTGCAAATGCAAAGACTCAGACAGTCGCAGAGAAGGCCAAATGGTAGACATTGAACTTGCAGATATCAAGCGATTTTTACAGTTATAGTAATGACAACAAGGTAGCTTTGGTAAAGGGAGAGACCAGCCGACCAATGGGGTAGCCCATGACTCCAAAGCAACCCAGGACATTTGCATTCACATTAGGCATAATACATGGAATGTTTCAGTGCTGTAACAAATTATATCCTACCTTTGGAGCTTAGTAAAGGGTCAATTAGGCATCTATATGTAAGGAAATATCTCTCAATATTTACCGCATACCTTCCATAAGCAATCAATTCTGAATAGAATTTAGAAAAAGTTTTAAATGATAAAACAATAAAGGTTTTAGTAGAAAACAGCAGATTATCTACTCTACTTTGAACAATCCAAAATTTCTTGTATGAGGCACAGAAAAATATCAAATATCGAAAGTAATAAATCATATTACTTTTAAAAGACTAGCTTTTACTAAATACCCCAATGATAGATCAAAGAGGAAAGACATAAAATGGGAAAATATGTATTTTCAAATAAAAGACTCAGCCAGAATACACTGAAAAGCCATTAAATTCATTTGAAGCTGTCAGCTGTACAATAGAAAAATTGGACACCACAAAAGAAAAGGATATCAAAGTGGCAAATAAACAAATGGATGACACTCAACACCATTAGTCACCAAGGAAATACAAATTAGAACTCAGTGTGATGTTCTTGCAAAGCCACTGTTAAAATGAAAAGAGCAGGAAATAATAAGTGCTCCATAATGCCAGGACAATAGATGGATAAAAACATTTTGAACAGCATCAGAATTATCTGGTAAAGCGGAATACATGCAACTGCTATACTGAGATGAAGCTCCCACAGCCTGACATAGAAATGTTCATCAGAAGACAGTTAGAAGAATGCTGCACCCCAGGGAGATGCACCCCTGTAATCCTAGCACTTTGCGAGGCTGAGGCAGGTATATTTCAAGTTCCAACCATCCTTGGCTACTTAGAGATATAGTAAGTCCCTGGCTTTGAAAAGCGAATAACAGAAGCTTGGGGATTTAACTGAGCACAAAGGCTGTGGGCTAAATCCCCAGTACCACCACAAAAACATGCAAATGTTCTTCCGTGGCATTATTTGTGATGGGATAAAAGCAGTAAAAAATTCATATTTCCATTACTTACAGAGAGGATTTTCCAACTAAGTGGTATTTATAAAATGGATTCTACACAGCAACTGAGAAAATGATAACTGCTATGGTCAGTAAGCTTCCTTATTCCAGTAAGAATAAACAAACAGATAAAATGAGCACAAGAGTTAGTGCAGAAAAAAATTTGCACGTATTTAGTTATTGATATATGAAAAAAAAAGAAGTTCTTCAGTTAGGGAGAACTTGAATTGGAAACAAAAGAAAAGAAAAGAAAGAAAAATACAAAGTGACACACTAGTTTGTTTGTCTTTACATAAAGTTGAAAACACAGCACAACTGATGTGTGGTGGTAGATATCAAGAGTACTTACCCATAGGGAGTAGTGATCAAAGTGCACTAAAAGGGCAGTTTTGAGCAAAAGAAATGCTTTCTTCATGTTGGACACAGGTATCATGTGCATATTAACTGTATATATAAAAGGGTACTTGACTGCAATATGTTATACTTCAATAAAAATCACACTAAAAATTAAGGAAGGAAATAGATTGGAAATGAGAGACAGCGTGCTGCCTTTGAAATTATGCTGGAAAACAGAAGAAAGAGTTCAAGGGTTTTAATGAAGACTGTTGACACAATCAGAAAGCAGCGACAGGGAGAGCAAAGGAGTGAGTTGCCATGACAACCAACATGAGGGTATAAAACGGATGGATCTCAGTACCAGTCTTTTGGAATTCAATGGCTTCCAAGTTTGCTACCATGAGTGGCGAGTTTCTTTTGGGAGAAAACTAAATATGAAGATCCCTTTAATTACCCAAATGCATAATGAGTAGGAGTTTAACAGACATGGCTGGGGACAAAGATAAACTAAGACTAGAAATGTAAAATTTGTGAGTTACTGTCTATGAACCTCATTGCAATTTCTTAGGCAGAGTTCAAATTACATGAGAAATGTGCAGCACTTATTTCTTAGATCTGAAAAGAGAAGCACAGGCAACAAAATGAAACATAGTCAGGTAGGAGCATGGTGAACTAATTTTTCACATGGTAGAGAACACAGTTGAAAGAATTACAAAAGGAACTCAGGAAATGGATGAAGAAAATATTTACAGTCCTATATTTTGTATACGCACACAAAATATACCCACTTTTTATTTTCTAATTAAAAATGAAATCAAATATAAATACATTTTACAATCAGCAAAGAGCTGGAACAAACATTCTCCAGAAAAGTATATAATTGGGCAGTAGATAAAATGATCAGCCACATTAATCAACAGGAAAATGTGCTTCAAAATATAATGACTCTTTACTGCACAACTGGCGATTGCGGATGGCTAGTATCAAAAACAAAACAAAACAAAAAAGGACAAAATGTTTCATCAACAATGTTAAGAAATTGGAACACTTCTACTCTGTCACTAAAGGCACATAATCATGTAGTTTTTTACTTAAAACAGAGTAGAGGTTCCTTAAATATTAAATGATATCTTTCATATGATATAGAATCCTATACATGCATATATATTCAAACATACTGAAATCAGAATCTTTTTTTATCTTTCTTTCCTTGTTTTTATTTTTTAAAGTGAATAAAAGTAGTTAAAAAATTAGACATGAGGCAGAATTTCACTGAACAAAGTAATAGGAATTCAACTATAGTTGTTATATTGCATACGATTGTCTTCAAGTTAGTTGTTTAAATTACCAGACATACATGCAAAATTAGTTAAATAGCTCTAAAAATTAAAAAGGAGAGAAAAAATAAAACATTCACTGCTCCTTTCAATAGACCAACAGAAACCAGCAGTACCATTATCCAAGCTATCCTGTGTATATACATAAATATATCTTTTGCCATTCATTCTTTCTTTTGTTCTTTACCCCATCCCAGTTTCAGCCTCCCCAGTGCAGGGATTACAGGCTTGCGCTCCTACACCCAGTCCTGCTGGCTGGCTCAGTGTGCTGTTGGGGATCCAACCCCAGTCCCCGAGACTGCCTAATCCAGCACTTAGTCCACTGAGCTATCTCGGCAGTTCTGTTCCTTCACTTTGAACAGTTTCTTTCCCGTTTACAGTATCCATTTTCCTTTCACTCTTTGGGTTCTATAGTAGGGAAGCAATACAAGGTTTATACATGTGGATCGGAAACTTAGATGTTTGTAGTCTCCAGATCATTTCACCAATATTCCCAATAAGCAAGTGATAGTAATAAGCCTAATGTATCCTGGAAGGTGAGCGGATTAAAATAGTGGAGCACATGTGTATAAAGAAGTCTTACTCAACCTTATAAAAGAAAATCTTCCAATTGCAACTATTTATATGCACTTGAAGTACATTGTGCTAAGTTAAAATTATCTGTAAAAGAAAAACAAATGCTTGTGATTTTCTCTAACATGAGCTACCTCAAATAAGCAAAATCGTAGAAGCTAAGAATATGATGGAGGTTGCCAGCCATCAGGCAGCAAGGTGATGGGGAGTCCATCGAGTGCTGTAATGGTGCAGTTACAATATATGCAGTAGGTCTAGAGGTCTCCACTAAAATATTTTGCCTATAGTCACTATAACAAGCAGTACTGTATTATGTACTCAATCATTGTTTGAAAGTTTAAACCTATGTTCGTCTGTTACCTCAAAACAGCAAAAGAATAGGATACAAAGAAAGAGTTGGAGGGAAGGGATATGTCTATTACCTCAATGGTGATGGCTTATGTATGGGTCTGAACTCACAGTGTTTTATTGAATGAGGTTGAGACGTATAATATCTCAATTATTCTTTTTAGAAATGTAGGGAGCTTAAGCCTAAGTTTGAGAAAGTTGAACAATAAATGGCAAAACAGAGCAAGGCCAGCAGGTAAATAACAAAAGAGAGGGCTAGTCAGAGAAGACATGAAAAGCTGGAGCTGAATGCATCAAAGAAGTTAGGAGAAAAAAAAATGTTTTAAGCAAAAGAAAAAGATCAGCAATACTGACTGTGGCCAGGAGCTCTGGTGAGTGGGAATTGTAGCTGGAAATGTATTCAGCAGGATGAATAATTGTTGAATGAGTAGGGAGATGAATGAAAGTCACACTTGCTGTGCAGTTAGCAGTGTAAAAGAAAGGCAACAGCCTGGAAAATAGTGGATTGAAACTATGGAAAGTAAAACATCGTACCACGTACAGTGTGGAGAAGGAATCCAACCGTGAACGTCTTTATGTTTTGTCTACATGGTAATCTCGCAATGATTATCTTGCAAAGAAAAAGGAAAAAAGAAACTATTCTAACTTGATATTGTGGACACCTAGCTGTCTGCTCGAAATTCTGCTGTGTTTGCTTAAAATAAAGGGTGCTAACGAAAACACATTGCAATATTAGAATTTTAAGAAAAATATGCCCTAAAATCGCTGTTTTTCATCTTGGGAAACTACTGATTTCTGTGGCAAAAATTTAAAATGTAGAAGTTGTGCCACACAACTTAGACTAGGCATATTAAAGGAGAAAAATGCCAAGAGTTAGAATCAATTCTTAGATATATATTTAATGTAAATATTTGAGGTTTTTGAAGATGGAATGTTTA